ATATGTTGCGGTATGTTTGGCCTGTGAAATTTGGCAAGTTCGTCTGTGATTATCGTGCATTAGTACTCCTACAATACAAAGAGGGCGAAAGAATGATAAGGGGGTACACACCTGCGCATCAAATCTAATTAAGATGTCCCTCCTATTCCTATCCAGTCCAATAATCCTGACTCTCAAATACGGGTCATTCTTCTCCAAACTAACTCCATTGGACGTCTTATTGGCGACAGGTGAAATGAGGCCGGGCTCAGGCGCACCATATACTTTCGGTTCCCTTCCAAACGGGCCTGGATGAGGTCCGTCCAACGGGTTTGCGTTGATAGTCGAAATAGAAGGAGACGTTACACCCGTGCTTATGCTTGCTTCCATGCTCGCTGTTGCAGTCGAGAACGTAGACGTTGAAGCTGACTGCCATGCATCGGCCTCGGGAGCGATGTTTAGTGGCGGGGCATGTACCGCCGACGCTGTGTGGGGAACAGAGGGCCAGCCTGGGTTGGACTCGGTATTGAAACCTGCACTTAGTGGGTCGTACATGGCAGTGAGGAAGAACTGGAAGTTAAGGACAGCGAGATAGAGGAGGACTCCCCAGGTGGTGTGCCGTGGCTGTTAACGCCGGCCTTGCCGAACGCCCAAGTGTGACCTTCTTCCTATAGATGTCAACTGTGACAGTTGGAGGACCCTTGCACTTCTTTCTCTCTAACCACGACCATCCCAGTACTAATTCCCCTGAGGACTGGCAATCCTCACCCATTTGTTGAGAGAAAGCTTGGGACCCAGATTAGGGACTTCTTTGAAGTGTCTGCCTAGTAGAGGAATCGTCCTTGGGCCCGCTAAGGGTTGAGCTTTAGCTTTAGCTCGATTCTTGGGCTTGAGGTGCGACTTGAACGGTGACTCCACTTGCTCGGTATGCCTTGAGCACCGACAGCAATGGCCAGAGGGGTTGTGGGATTTTATCCATTGGAACAGGCCGGATGGGAAGCTGGATACCTTTCAGCTCATTCTTCACATTTTGACGCTTTCACCTGGTTGCTCTTCGAGCTGGACTCACGCTTCGGATTAACCTCAATTTTTTCTTTTGTTTCACCTATATGATTCTTCTTTTTCTCATTTTTCTTTGCTTAGCTCTGCGCTTCTTCGTTCTTTAACAAGAGCAATGATTAGGCAAACGAAAGTAGAAATATTGATATCAGATCGTCGAATTTCAATTTAAATATGTTGGACCCTCACACTGCATGTATTTTTATAGTATGCTGTGGGTGTTGTCAGAGCTGTAGGAGAGGAGATCCGCGTTAATGATGAAACAGACGTTTAGCCAATCCTAAAAGACTCTGCAAGTTCGTACTGGCAGCGTCTGAATACCGTGGTCGATCTCGGCCTTTGTAAGGAGATTGTTCATATATACTCAGTAGGGTTGAGAGCGCGAAATACTTAGTAAAACAACTTCTTACACAGAGTTGTTGCTGAGGCTTGCCAAAGTTGGTCATTCACGAATCAAGACGTTGGAAGCCCAAAACTAAGAGCTCAATAGTGACGAAACCCAGGAAAACGATGGTAGCGGTATGGTAAAAGGTGTAAGATATAAATATTAGCGCCCGCATGCCCCATACCACTCCCGTTCTCGCTCCCCTCGACCTCTTCCAACGTCAAGGGAACATTCTTTATTTCTTCAATAATAAATTCCAACAGATGACAAATGGATTCGGTTCTGATACAAAAACCTTGGGCATGGTATAGTTGAGCTTTGTGCTATCTATAACATCTGGGCAACTCAGGTATGCTGTATTCCCTTCGACTGAATTTTGAGATGTTTAAATCCGTTAAATGCAGTATCGAAACTCGAATGCTAAAGCACACCGCATTATTCCGACTCTAGACTGCCGGGGTGGCTTACCGTGTCCAAGTCCGAGCCACTTGGTATGGAGAATGAGGATACCTAACTATTTTCATATAGCTGTGCCCTGCAGCTGAAGGCCGTACGTGTTACAGCAGCTGAAAAATTCGGTAGACTAATACAGAGATAACTTTGTTCAGCCAGCCTCCAGCCATTATTTTCAGAGTGATTACTCCCGGATGGATGAGGAGTTAAAGCCGGCGGGATTGAGGAACGCCGGCGATCAACGCGCTCTGTTGATTCGAAGCCCGCTGGGTTTACATTGGTCGATGGCTCTGCGTGGCTTAACGTCACAGCTACCACCGCCACCTAACCTTTCCATTGCCCTCTCCCGATACAACCGTAGTTCAATCAACTTTGATTTAATTAAAGATTATACTTCTACCGCAATGGAATCCAAATCATTGTCAGATTCTCCATCCAAACACTCAGAGGATACGCAAAAGGAACCATGTACGATTGGTCAATCTCAATCTCAATGTAAGTCATTCCGAATGTCTAAGTTTCTGCGTTAATGATCTTTTCAGCCTGTGACGAAATGGTCTCTAAGTTATTACCATATTCCCCGTGTAAGACTTCAGACGGTACGCAAACGGAACCATGTACGATTGATCTTTCCCAACCTCAATGTACGTTAATCCCAGCATTTGACTACGTTACTTCGATAATGAGCCTCAAATGATTCACAATTCAAAGCATTATCAGATTCTTCGTCAGAGATCTCAGAGGACAAGCAAAAGAAACCATGCGCCATTGATCACTCTCAATCTCATAGTAAGTTACTTCCATCGTTGACGACGTTTCTGCGTTAATGAGCTTCCAAGATTCTGTTGAAGCATTACCAGATTTTCCATCAGAAAGGCCACAAGATTCTTTAAAGAAGCCATGTACGATTAATCTTTCTCAATCCCATTGTGAGTCACTTCCAGTGTCGACACTAAGTTTCTATGTTTATGAGACACCATCTAGATAATTATTTCCCTCTCAAGGGTTCCCATATATTCTCATTACAGTCATTCATTCGTAGGATATATCGGAAACTGCTCCCACTTCTTAAAGCTCATGGCCGACTGCGTTACCCAGAAACAACTAGTTCTGAGGTTTATCGACTCAGTCCAAGGCTTGCTATGAAGATAAACATATGTGATCGTCTCTGTGAAGCGAATACTTTACGTTTTATTCGGGAAAACACAACCATCCCGGTACCGATAGTCATAGACACCTGGACTACAGATGAAGGTTCTATAACCTTAATGGAATGGATTCCCAATTGCCGAACAATACGCGACTGCTGGCCTACTTTAACCCAGGATCAAAGACAGAATATAGGAAGAGAAATTCAAAGTTATGTTGATCAACTCCGGAGTCTCCGGCGACCTCCAACTTCACAGCAGCTTATAGGACCTATTGATAAATCGCCCTTTTACCACGACTGTGTCTTGGCTAATACTTGCGAGCCGTTCGCCTCCGAAAAGGACTTCAATGACCTACTTGTTTCTCGAGTTGAAAAATTCGCGCTCATGGCCGAAAGCGCGAGAAAGAAACTTGAATGGATACAGGGCAATCTACGCGATGATCATCGTATATTATTCACGCATGGAGATCTTAACCCTACAAACATCTTAATCGATCGGAAAGGCAATGTGGCCGCCATCATTGATTGGGCTATGTCCGGGTGGATGCCGGAATACTGGGAGTACGCAATTTGTGCCTTCCTCACCGATGGCCTCGATGGATGGTCTGAATACGCCAAAACGATAACATATCCCGATGATATACAATTGGAAGTGCAGAACGCCTTCGTTGAAATGTATGGATATGGTCCGTGGTTCGTTTAACTCTGGTATCCTTCAAAACGGCAGTTCATGACAAAGAAAGGAAAAATATAACGGTATAATTCTCTCTATCATTCCAATAATCACCACTAACCTGCTAATCTCAGTGAATATAGTGCTCCAATTTCAAACATCTAACATGTTCACTCACGACGTTACTTCTTCTTCACCTTCTTCTCTGCATCAAGACGTCTCAACAGTTCTGCATGATCCATAACTTCAACATCGAAGCCTCCTTCATAGAGTCTACCCAAAGCATCCATTATCCAATTCTGACAGTTCCATCCAGCATTGACACCGTTCGCAATAGGGACTGAAGCCAAGATGTCCTCGAATTGCTGGTCACGGTTAGTAGGAATGCTGCCAACATATACCATTCCTTGAAATGTCTGTGACTTCTTTGGGGTTTTCGTAGGTCGAGGTGTGTATGTATAGGTCCCTGGTGAACCAATAACATGGTATGCCATAGCGTCAATGTGGCTTTTGTTCTTCATCAACAGGAAGGACCAATGCCAGGCACCTCGTAATCCTTCAGCACCATAATGCGCTATGTACAGAAGGAAGCTTTGCGACTCCTGAGCCTGAGGTTGTGAATGACACGTGCCCATAGTGGTAAGGGGACAATGTTAGTGGCGGTCGGAAGTTGGGCTGTGGTTTATGTGGATGCGAACCTTATTTGTTTATAAAGGAGGGCAGTGCGCCTGTTGTTTCTTGAAAGCCGTGTCGTGGCATGCATCGATGAAAATTCGGTAGAATGATAACCTTGTATTAAGAATTACAATTGTTCTTCTAGCCATTTTGAGCTTCGATTGTATGGTCTCGTCGCAGAGCGTTCTAGATCCGAGTGGATTTCTTGAAGATATGGTCGTTGGGAACTCAAAGCTCAGTACGCGAGCAACAAATTTGTCACGAGTGGTGTACTATTGGAAAACGCATTGCTTGAAAGAAGAACGATAGCTTTTTGTACATCAGAGATCCGGATTCTAGTGAGCGATCTTGGTGTTAATCTTTTGATGGAAGCAAACAAACATGAGGTTCGTAGATAAAAGAACAAGGGGCCAGGAAACATGAGACCCTGCGAACTACAAAACCTCATGTTTCCCGGGCCTAGGTCCGAGATCGTTGATGTCTAACTTAACTAACATCTTAAATATGAAATATAACTAAGAGCTCAGTCATAAAATTATGAGGTTCTGCCTTTGAGTACGAGTGTCCATCTTGAGACAAGAAATATACCATTTCGTGATGGAGGAAAAGCGAGACTAGCTCAATAACGTTGGGTAGCTCGGTTGGAAGGGCGTCAGACTGTATAATGGTTAACCTTTATCTGAATGTTATTGGTTCGATCCCGGTCACGGAGATTTGTTTTGCACCTTTGGCCTCAGTCTTACGAGGAATTCTCTATCTCTGTATAACCTAACCTATATTTATTCTTATCACAGTGGTTCGTTTATCTCGACGACGTACCGTACGCACCAACGTGACTCCACCGAGAACTTCCTGTACCCGAAGACTTTATGCACGTGTGTGGTTCATATGGGCCATGCAGATAGTATATATGTAAGCTCAATATGTGGAAGGGATAGAGAGGAGGGACTTCGCTCACAATCTCGTCAGGATGCTCTTCACCGCCTTTGTGCGCAACGTTCTCGCCGTCCAAGGGCTATTCAGTGTTTCTTCCGACTACGCACTACCTTGTACGTTTTTTCGTCGAAGTGTTCCGTTTTTGAGCCTAATTCATTCATTTGATTTGAATTCAAACAGCTACTCAAAGTCCTAACCCGAACGATCTAAATCCTTATCCAACCAAGCCACGACTCACCTTCAATCCAGATGGCACTTTCAAAATCGTGGTTTTTTCCGACATGCATCACGGTGGAAACCTTTGGTATTCTTGAGGACCAGAACAAGACAAGCACAGTACGATTTTGATGAAAAAGGTTCTTCTGCAAGAGAAACCTGATTATGTGTTAGTCGCCTTGCTGAGGCATGTAAATAACTCGACTTACTGCATTCGTACTTTATAAACCGCAAGAGAAGCAGATCTCCGTCTTACTCTCTTAAACAAATCTATTCACACTCTTAGGGGGCATTCCGCCCACTTTTCTCAGTCTAAAATTCTCCATCTTATATATTGTACTAATAGGACCATAACTCCGACCCCTTTGAGCGTGACACAAAATGTTCGAATGACTTTTGCACCAAAAGGGCCCGTGATGCGTGACACCACCCTAAATAGCACCAAGACAAAAATTGCACCCAGAGGTATTCGAACCCACAGTATCAAACACTATCACAACACTACTGCTACTATACCAAATTCACTTGATATACATCCATTCAGATAGACTATTCACGACGCAAATGTCTTAGGGGGCGAAAATAGATTTTTTTGTGATTTTTGGGCATTTTTTCGACCATTTTTTCGGCCTCTGGAACTTCGTTTGACTTTAGCACCAAAGGTCTGTGTGACGCGTGACACCACCCCAAATAGCACTACACCAAGAGGGTCCGTGATGCGTGACGCGGAGTTACGGTCGTATTAGTACAGTACCTCGCTATCAATTATTTCTTTATTATTCAGTCGAAATCTCCTAATAATAAATCATATGAGTATTTTGCGGATACCGTGGTCTCCCCGGTAAAATTTTCATATATAATCCTAATATTTTCAATGCCCAAGTTGTGCCAAAATAAATAATACCGCTATTATTTTCACGCCGAAGTGGTGGGAGATTACATAAATATTACGGCTATTAACCGGCTATCATGGTCTTTCAATCAAACATGTGCGTCATATATACTCTTCCATCAACTATGGGTAATTAACGAGCAGATTTCTGCCAGTATCCAATATCTCAGTGAAAAACTCAAGAAATAACTTTATGGTAAATAATTTTGATATTTCAACCACTTTTAAATTAAACCGGTGATTATGTCAAAGAGCCGGTAGTGAATATTCATTTTCCTCAATAACTCTTGATTATTAGGTAATTAAATAGGACTTTGCTCGGGCATTGGCTATCTAACAGTTAAGAAACATTCTTATTTGTCAGTTTATTTACTCATCACTAGGTTAATCCAGGGCCCAGGCGAGATGCACCCTATTATTCTTAAAATATTATTTCATCTCCACCGTTGATTTCTCTTGATTTTCCGAGTCTCTCTCTGCTGTCCTGGGCCGCTCTCGGTAATTTTTAATTCTTTGCTGTGTGTCTATGATGCTTCGAAGTGTCACGTTATTGGGATAGTATTATTTCGAAACTACAGATATTACTGTGCCATTAACAATATTGTCTACTAGGTACTCAATATTTTCGGTGAGATCTCTTTTGTCTCGGATACCGTAGCCGGTAAGGTCTTGGATTGAAAATCGAATTTAGCAAGCCAAGCCCAATCACAAGACTGCCCGGCATTTCTCCAGCATCCTCCATCAACCCTTGAAAGAAATCTAACGCACAACAACATCACTTATTTTCTTATGTACAGGTTCATATAGGTGAATCAGTCGGATTGTTGGTAAAAGGGAAGTGGTCAGGTATTGTGGACCGATCCGGAGTTGCGATCAACCCTTTTTTGACAAGAGTCTATGGGCTAGTGGTAGTGGCGATTGAGTACTTTGGACCTTGACCTCCGTCCTTGGTTTGACTTGCGGCAAGTTACTAATTTTCTTTTTCTTTTTGGAGGGGAGGGGGGCGACAGGGAGAGGGTCTGAACTGTTCTCTAGACTCCGTCTCTAGATATTTACAGACTCTTAAGTACTTTCGCTACACTTTGAAGAGCATTTGAAGTGTTCAAGAAAGCGGGAGAGCGGGGTTTGGAACTTGACCTTAAAAAGGAGACTGTGTCTTCAATTTCTCGCAGTTCCCCCTCCCTCACAAAAAGAAAACACGTCTAGACCTGAAAATATAGTACATCATGAGAGAACAGACATAAAATTAAATAAATGTATAATAGCCAGCATCTGATTTGAACCTTGTACTAGTAAAGGGAGGATCGAAACACACACACACACATACACACATACACACACATGCCTACCGTTGCCGAGGGTCGTGGATTAAATTGCGATCAAGGATTTGTGACCAGCAGTTTGCCCACAACCGTGACTTGAGATATTTTTTTTACTGCATCATTTAATGTTCAGTTGCATCAGGATTGGTATAAAACTGTTCTTTTCCCTTTATTATATGTGAATCAGCAATCATCGATGGAGTGCATGGGAAAGGATATTCTGACTTAACCTTATAATAGTCCAGCGTGGCCTAATAATAATGCGCCATGTGTGTGTTTTTTTCGATCCTCCCTTTACCAGTACAAGGTTCAAATCAGATGCTGGCTATTATTATTTTATTTTATTTTATGTCTGTCCTCTCATGATGTACTATATTTTCAGGTCTAGACATGTTTTCTTTTTGTGAGGGAAGGGGAACTGCGAGAAATTGAAGACACAGTCTCCCTTTTAAGGTCAAGTTCCAAACCCCGGTTTCTTGAACACTTCACGCTAAGATCGCTCACTAGAATCCGGATCTCAGATGTACAAAAAGCTATAGTTCTTCTTTCAAGCAATGCGTTTTTCAATAGTATACCACTTGTGACAAATTTGTTGCTCGTGTACTGAGCTTTGAGTTCCCAACGACCATATCTTCAAGAAATCCACTTGGATCTAGAACGCTCCGCGACGAGACCATACAATCGAAGCTCAAAATGGCTAGAAGAACAATTGTAATTCTTAATACAAGGTTATCGTTCTACCGAATTTTCATCGATGCATGCCACGACACGGCTTTCAGAAAACAACAGGCGCACTACCCTCCTTTATAAACAAATAAGGTTCGCATCCACATAAACCACAGCCCAACTTCCGACCGCCACTAACATTGTCCCCTTACCACTATGGGCACATGTCATTCACAACCTCAGGCTCAGGAGTCACAAAGCTTCCCTCTGTACGTAGCGCATGATGGTGCTGAAGGATTACGAGGTGCCTGGCATTGGTCCTTCCTGTCGATGAAAGTAGGATTGGCATAATGCCACAGGCATATTCCGGTGATGAGACGTTAACAGTTAGCGCTTACCCAAACCTGTGATCGTTTTATCTTCCGTCCTAAAATTTACATTTTCAGCTATAATTGAAGAACAAATTAACTCACTGACCTCTTCTTGATCCCGTCCGATAGCCTAGGTGCTACGGTCAGCTTCGGGTGCTCGAACGCTGTAACGCCATAGTCTTTTTACCCTTGGGAGAATGGAGTCGAAAGAAAAGCCTTTGAGATAGAAAGGAAGACTGTTAATTAAATTCGAATACACATGAGTTCATGCAAAGACTTACTTTCCATTATGAATCTCCTGCAATTTTCGATCAAATAAATGACATAAAATAGTCACAAATGTGCCACATTTGTGGTCAAATTCGTGACCAGTGCGCAAGAGTCACTGAGAGTCCATTTATTCTTTGCTTGAAGAATTGAATATCAGGAGCACTGTAAAGAAACGAGGAAGAAGATACTTACTTAACTTCATGGGTAGAGGGTTATACCGTAGTAATAGTAGTACCACAAAGAAGAACGTGCCCTCTGGAACCCGGCCCAAAGGGTAGACGATTAAGACAAATTCTATTGTTCAAGTATGCTACAAAATACATTTCAAAAATGTCCAAGGATCCATGAAACTTCGACGACGGCAGGATTCGATAGGAGAATATATGGTATGACTCTCCGAAAAAAAATTGTGACAGGTACTATTATACGAGCTAATAAATGGCGTGCTACTTGAGTACGTCTTCTTGCATTACGAGGCCGGTGGGTTATGGCAATGTCAGGTCTAGGGTAGAATTTGTGTTTCGGCGCATTCTGATACGACGGTGAGTACAAGACGAATATGAGAGGAATACGTAGAAAATCATACCTCGTTGGGAAAAAGGGCTTATACCATGGATAGTCCTCTGGAGGACTATGGATGGAGGTGTTGTGTCGTCCGTCCTGTGTCTTGTCTAAAAAAAAAAACACGATTGAAGTCGAAAAGGAAAGAAAGAAAAAAGCTTGAGAGGCGGGGGTTTTTCAATTGGTCTCGGATTCCGGCTCCGAACGATCATCTTCATAATCAGCAGCCTTTTTAATATTATGAATAACTTGTTTTCGCTTTTGCTGAGCTTTCTCGCTGCGGGGGAATTAAAATTGATAGGTGAAGGTAACTTGGGGTTTAGTAAATAGCGTACCAGGCACCGTTTGTTCTATGTCGGTTTAGAGAGTCTGCACGGCCACTGGGAAAGACGGTTCCGCATTTTTCGCATCTCATCTTGATGGTATCCTTCAAAGCGTCCATTTGAGCTTGAGATTTCACCCATTGTGCTTCATTGAAA